AAAAAAAAAAAAGCTTAGAGTTGGGTTGGGTTCGATTCGATTCTTTGAGTTGAAAATTTTACAACTAGAACAATTAGATCGAGTCTGAACAAATTTTCAACTCTGACCCGACCCAACCCAAACAAAAAACTTATATGGTTAGGTTCGGTTCGGTTCTTTGAGTTGAAAATTTTACAACTAGAACAATTAGATCGAGTCTGAACAAATTTTCAACTCTGACCCGACCCAACCCAAACAAAAAACTTATATGGTTAGGTTCGGTTCGGTTCTTTGAGTTGAAAATTTTACAACTAGAACAATTAGATCGAGTCTGAACAAATTTTCAACTCTGACCCGACCCAACCCAAACAAAAAACTTATATGGTTAGGTTCGGTTCGGTTCTTTGAGTTGAAAATTTTACAACTAGAACAATTAGATCGAGTCTGAACAAATTTTCAACTCTGACCCGACCCAACCCAAACAAAAAACTTATATGGTTAGGTTCGGTTCGGTTCTTTGAGTTGAAAATTTTATTAACCGGAACAATTAGATCGAGTCTAGACAAATTTTCAACTTTGACCCGATCCAACCCAAACAAAGAAACTTATATGGTTGGGTTTGGTTCGGTTCTTTGAGTTGAAAATTTTACAACCAGAACAATTAGATCGTGTCTGAACAAATTTTCAATTCTGACCCGACCCAACCCAAACAAAAAACTTATATGGTTAGGTTCGGTTCGGTTCTTTGAGTTGAAAATTTTATTAACCGGAACAATTAGATGGAGTCTAGACAAATTTTCAACTTTGACCCGATCTAACCCAAACAAAGAAACTTATATGGTTGGGTTTGGTTCGGTTCTTTGAGTTGAAAATTTTACAACCAGAACAATTAGATCGAGTCTGAACAAATTTTCAACTCTGACCCGACCCAACCCAAACAAAAAACTTATATGGTTAGGTTCGGTTCGGTTCTTTGAGTTGAAAATTTTATTAACTGGAACAATTAGATGGAGTCTAGACAAATTTTCAACTTTGACCCGATCCAACCCAAACAAAAAAACTTATATGGTTAGGTTCGGTTCGGTTCTTTGAGTTGAAAATTTTATTAACCGGAACAATTAGATCGAGTCAGGACAAATTTTCAACTCTGACCCGATCCAACCCAAACAAAAAAATTTATATGGTTGGGTTGGGTTCGGGTCTTTGAGTTAAAAATTTTACAACTGAAACAATTAGATCAAGTCTAAACAAATTTTGAACCCAAATCCAATCCAATCTAACTCAACCAAAGAATGAACACTCGAACCATCGGCATAGATATTTAAAGGAATTTCACGTAGTCTCATGGAGGACAAATAGCATATCAATCAATATAAAACTATTTTTGTTCTCTTTGAAGGATCAGACGAAGCATTAAAGATTGAAAATTTAAGTCATCCTGTTCTGATCAGAGCCTGCACTTTGCAGGCCAAGACAGTTTTATGGTGGTTGTAAAGGTTCTTTTGAGTGTTGGAGGTTCTGAAGCAGCTCAACATTCAGGCAATCATTGGTAATTTCTTACGTACGAGTGTATCGAAGCCATCGTCGAGTTGGCTCCTTGGTTGGTCGTTCTCTCCTTTGTTCATCGTAAGTCAAGAAACTCAAAGTCAAAGTATCTAGACGCTCAATTTATAGCTTTTCAAGTCATATGTGATATTCTATATTGGTTGGGGAGGAGAACGAAACACCATTTGTAAGAGTGTAGAAATCTCTGCCTAGCAAACGTGTTTTAAAGTTGTGAGGGAAAGACTGAAAGGGAAAACCCAAGGAAGATAATATCTGCTAGCAGTGAGTTTGGGGCGTTACAAATGGTATTAGAGTCAGACACCGAGCAATGTGCTAGTGAGGAGGCTCTTCCCCGAAGGAGATAGACACGAGGCGATGTGTCGGTAAGGACGATGGGCCTTGAAGGGGTGGATTTGGTTGGGGAGAAGAACGAAACACCAGGGTGTGGAAACCTTTCTCTAGCCGATGCGTTTTAAACCTTTGAGGAGAAGCTTGAAAGGAAAAGCCCAAAGAGGATAATGTCGGTTAGTGGTGGGCTTGGACTGTTACACCATATGACCAAAAAACTCGAAGTCAAAGCATTTAGACGCTAATAGTAAAGCATCTCGACACTACCCTTATATTTTATAAAAAGACATTTTGAAGGACAACATCAAGACGCTACTTCAACGTCTATAAATTATCTTTTTCTATCAAATTGAGGGAGCTAACTTCTCGTGTTAGTGGACATCTCAACAAGGACAAAGATTGACACGTGATCATAATTTCTTTCCTTTCCTCTTATTTGTAGTTTCATTATAGCTTTGTATTTGAGTTTAGGGATTGTATTAATTAAACTTGTTATTATTAGGGATCGTAATAGTTAAATTCTAACATGAATATTTGCTCATTACTTTTGGGAGTAAAATCTATCTCTACAAACCAACACGAGTCATTCTTACGTCCTAGAAAAATTTCTAAAAAGTCACCCAACATAGAATTCTCAAAACTATGAAGTTTCTATAATTGAGCTATCGTAAAGAAAAGTGCACCTTATTGGTACAGATAGTAATTTCGTTTCCTTCAGTCGGTATATCTTTGAAAGCGATGAGAGAATAAACGGACTCCTCGAGGGCTACTTAAGGCACTTTAGTGGAAACCTGTAAGACTGGAGTCGTTGGATGTTGCTCATTGCTGCTATAACTGAAGAACCAAAAAGCTCTGCATCGAACTTCAGCCCTTGAGAGTTGGCCATGAGGCAACAACCTTTGACACCCCACACCATTGCAATTGGAGGGGTCTTGCCCATCAGCCCACTTTGCCAAGAGGTGGGACAGGAGCACAACGACCTAGCTCAAAACCACTTAGATAAAGCTGCAAGGCGTATGAAGGGAGCGAGGACCTTGATCGAAAATCACTTCAAAAGATCAACCTAACCTAGTCCAACCTACTTAAACAACCTAAAGGCTTGGCTCGGTCTAAAGGAAGAAGAAAGTCAACAAGTCTTTCTTAATCATCATATACTCAAGATCGTTCTTATTTGAATATGATATCGGTTCATTCATGCACCTTTCCTTTATTTGAGTGTCTCAGTGTCGGTGTTTTCCTTTCCAATTATTGATACAAAGAAATAATTTAACCACACGTGACATGAGTAACACGCCGAATCATGGAGCTAGTCCAATTATTATTTTTTTTTTAAAAAAAAAACAACACGTGGGAATAATATTGTAGACTTGCAGCAAGTCGTACAAAAAATTTACAACTGTACTAAAAAAAAATATTATTAACAATATTCAAAATTGGAAAAATACTGAAAATTTTGTCAGGCCCATGACGCATAAAGAAGCATTTGGTATCTAGGCTTGTCTAAGTAGGCTACCTAATGTAATTCTTAAAAGAGTATTTTTTATTTGTTTTTAAAATCATATTTTCAATATTTTTCACAAATATTTAATCTAAACTTTTTAAATTTGAAATCAACGTCCGAGTAAATGAGATATACATAAACAAATTGAGACCACGATGAAACGAGAGTGTTCATAAGGATGCGACATTATGGTTGAGAGAACCTTACTAGAGTTGGTAGTTTATACTTATACAGTTAGTGTTTTTCTTTGAACAATCTTGCTCGATGACTTCTTAGCGATCTTTATAAAAATCATAGAGCGAGGACGTATCATTGTAGGGTTAGACTTCACTTTTAGATGTACTATGACAAGTTGATAATATGGTCACGTCATACGGATTGGAAGGGAATATCTGAGCTATCAGGTGTTAAATTCAGATTCCAAATCCTCTTAGAAGCACTTCATGACAAGAAAATACTATGATCATGTCACAAGAAATGCAAGAAAATGTCGGAGCTATCAGATGTCGAATCTAGATTCCGATCCTCATAGAAGTATTTCATGACAATAAAATAATGTGGTCATGTCATCTGAGATGCAAGAAAATATCAAAACCGTTAGGTGTTTGTGAGATCCCACATCGGTTGGAGAGGGAAACGAAACATTACTTATAGGGAGTGGAAACCTCTCCATAGTAGACGCGTTTTAAAACTGTGAGGGTGATGACAATACGTAACGAGTCAAAGTAGACGATATTTGCTAGCGATAGGCTTGAGCTGTTAGAAATGGTATCAGAGCCAAATATTTGGTGGTGTGCCAGCGAGGATGTAAATCCCCCAAGGAGAGTGGATTGTAAGATCTCACATGGGTTGGAGAGGGGAACGAAGAATTCCTTATAAGAGTGTGAAAACCTTTCCATAGTAGACGCGTTTTAAAATCATGAGACTAATGATGATAAGTAACGAGCCACAATAGACAATATCTACCAGCGGTGGGCTTGAGCTATTACAAATGGTATTAGAGCCAAATACCAAGCGGTGTGCCAGTGACGACGTTAAGCCCCCAAGGAGGGTGGATTGTAAGATCCCACATCAGTTGAAGAGGAAAACGAATCATTCCTTTAAGGGTGTGAAAACATCTCCTTAGCAAACACGTTTCAAAACTGCGAGGCTAACGACAATACGTAAAAGGTCAAAACGGATAATATCTACTAGCGGTGAGCTTAGACTGTCACACTATCACATCTAAATTCTAAATCCTAAACATAGAATGTTACAGCCACAACTCATTCAAACTAACCCGAACTTTATTTAAGAACCTTCCATTTTACAAATACAAATACCCATTTCAATCCTTCTCTAGCAAATATCATAGACTAATTATTTCATGTTCAAATCTAGAAGACTATTCCATACACATTACAAATCTCTCAATACTATATTCATTCATTCTCAAGCATGCACTAAAAATAAAATACAAATATATGATACACACTTGCCATTAAAAACTTTATATATAGAATTAAGTAGGGTTTGGCATGCAACCCACATGGGTTCACTGTTAAAAAACAGCAGTAAAATTTTAAAAAGAAGCTAACCCTAAGAAGATGATTACTAGGTCTAAAGTTTCTCTCTCCCTCTTAAAAAGTTTGCTTTCGCCATAATTATGATCAGATTACCGAGATTAATTATATTTTTTACTTTTCATATTTCACTCCGATTAATATATTATTATTATTATGAAGGGTTTTTATAGCTTTGAAGGCCATGTGTTTTACCCTCTTTGATTCCCTTTTTGACGGTCAAACTTACAGTGTTTTTTGATTTGTTCGAGGTTTTTTTTTTAGCTCTGTCTTTTGCTTTTAAACTATTATTTATTCTTTGTTTGGTTGCTAATAATATCTTTATGAATGAGTCCAATTTGGGCTACTTTGAATGTTATTTTAATATGTATACCATGAATTTGTGTACGTGTTAATACATTAATGAAAGATTATGAATCTCGACGTTAACGATTATAATAGCCCGAACCCACCTCTAACAGATATTATTCGCTTTGACTTGTCACGTATCGTCGTCAGTCTCACGATTTTAAAACGCGTATGTTAGAGAGATGTTTCCACACCCTTATAAAGAATGTTTCGTTCTCGTCTCTAACTGATGTGAGATCTCATAATTCACCCTAGAGGCCCTTTCACACCCTTATAAGAAATGTTTCGTTCCCCTCTGTAACTGATGTGGGATCTCACAATTCACCCCCTTGCCCTTATAAGAAATGTTTCGTTCCTCTCTGTAACTGATGTGGGATCTCACAATTCACCCCCTTGCTGCTCGGTGTCTGGCTCTGATACATTTATAATAGTCCAAGTCCACTACTGGTAGATATTGTTTGCTTTGCTCATTGCGTATCACTGTCAGCGTCGAGGTTTTAAAACGCGTCAAGTAGAGAGAGATTTGTACACCCTTATAAGGAGTGTTTTGTTCTCCTCTCCAACCGATGTGGGATCTCCCAATATTATTCATACTGTACCGGTTGAGTTTGGATTGTTTGTTGATCTGCTAGTGAGTTTGGATTGTTTGTTGATCTGCTAGTGGAACTAGCATGATTTCTGGTGAGCGGTTGGAAATTTTGTGAATGCAGTTGTTCGAGGATTGTTTTAAGTCATTTCTTCAACAAAATCATAAGAATTATGACCCAAGCGTTATCCGTTTAGCAAATTTGAAAATTTATGACTCAGTCTTGAACAATTTCTCATTTGAACTTACTGATTCCTCATCGTTCGCATAACTCTTGTGTTGCACTTGAATTATCATATTGTAACTGTTCGCTCAGCTGCTCGTGCTTCAACAATCCCTGTCTCAAAGCCGAAAGACGCTGATCTAGTTGTGTGGTCAATTCTTCACGTTTTATTGTTACCGTCCCTGAACTTTGATTTATAAATGATCTAAGTCACTCGCTCTCAAATTTCAATTTTGTAACAATTTAGTCCCTAAACTTATTTCTCAACGATATAATTGAATTTCATATAAAATAGCGGTTATTTTCTCAGAAGTTTTTTAACATATAGTTTTTAAGTGAAATTGAGTTAAAGATTAGATTTTGTTCCAATGTGTGGCCTTTGAGAGATGACCCACCAGACAAGGGTTAGTGTCCTCTTGTAGGGCTGCAACAATCAGACTCCATCCCCTATTTTCCTTTTCTTTATTTCTTCTTCCTTTTTTTTCTCTTCATTTTAAAGTAAAATTGACTCTCTCTCCTCTATCTCTCCCCTAAAAATGGACTGTGTTTCTCTCTCTACCCTACACCATGTCAATAATTCATGCAAGACTGTGACACATTTTGTCACACAACATGAGAGAGAGACATAGTTAGCTTCCATTTTTAGGAGTGATTGTTTGATGGACTAAATAATTAGCATGTTTGATAAAAACATTTGTTTTTTTTTTGTCCCTATGATTTAAACTTGATATCTATTCGGTTTTTTACTTTTGACATGTTTAGTTATTGATGTTGATACTGAATTTTCGATCTTTGGATCAATCATGAATTTGTGTTAACGAGAATGATTATGTCTTCTAAACAAAAGAAGTGAATATCGGTGTGGTGCTAAGCTGCTTACACTCTGATATTTAAGTTAATAATCGAGTTTGAGACTAGGTTAGATTAGAGGATTTGTGAGTGGTTTTACGTACCTTTCAATGTCGTCTTCTCCTTATTTTACTGTAAAGGTAGATAAGGAATATAATCACATTACAAGCTCTCTTTGAGAATTTAGGGTTTCTCGGTTGAGTAATGATTCGGCGGTTTTCGTTATCATGTTGATGAGCATAACCATTTATGTATGAGGTGGCCTTTGACTTGTCTGAACTACTTTTTAGAGTTCGAGATTAGTTGTATATGGTTATGATAGCTTTCTCATCAGATCCACTACATCGACCTTTGGAAGAATCATTCAGTATTGGCCTTTGGCCAAACTCTCGAAGGTTTGGTCAAGCCTCAACCAAACCTTAGCTTGTAACCGTCTAAGCCTACCGCTAGTAGATATTGTTCGTTTTAGCTTGTTACATATTGCCATCAGCCTCACGATTTTAAATTTATATATTAGGGAGAGGTTTCCACACAATGTGGGATCTCACATGACTTCTTACCGAACACTTTGAAGGTTCAACCATGTCTCTCTTGACATTGTCCTTTAAACCTGAGTCGATTCCTTCTTGACCCATCATCGTTAGGAACAACAAGAAAACAAGAAAGACAACTATAAGAAAATTGCTTCGAGGTCACAGTGGCATGGCTGAATGTATTGCAGTCCACCCCCACAATGCTTGATACTTCTTCTTGGAGTCCGTGCCTTTTCGATACTTTATGTCGTTGCCCTTGACCTGGTCTACAAAAGTAAGAAGTTGATACTATATCGATATCATGATCTCGATATTTTTAATGGTTTAAGGAACAAATCAACCCGAAATTTAAAGTTAAAAAATTTATATTTCAAAGAGAGAAGAGAGAAATACTCGAACTTTTAGTGTGAGAGAGAGAAAGGGAGGGCCCGATGGAAGAAGGGGAGGGTTAACCCGATTCTACTTTTAAGATTATTATGAAAATTAAGAATATTTAACGTTTGTAACTGATATTAATGATGTATGGTGACTTGTGAATGTTTGATATTTGAATTTTATGAGATTTTAGTTATTAATGTAATATGTATGGTGGATAAATAATTTTTTTTAAACAATTAAAAAACAACCCAACAATCCAACCTAATCCAGAGTTTGTTTTGGTTGAGTTGCAAACGTTTTTCGGGTAGTTCGAGTCACCAACCTAATCCAGAGTTTGTTTTGGTTGAGTTGCAAACGTTTTTCGGGTAGTTCGAGTCACCAACCTAACCAGAAAATCTTCCCAACCCAATTTGTGTATACTCCTTCTAATTTATATACGGGTCTCAAAAAAAAACTTAATGACTCGAAAAGTTTAAAACATACAATAAAGTTGAATAAATGATCAGAACAACTTGACCCAATAATTTACGGTCGAGTTAGGTTCAATTCATTACAGAATAAAAAGTTGCTCGAGTTGAAAAACGTTTACGATTCGAACAATTAGATTAGGTCTAAAGACACACTCGACTCTCTCTTTATAATCGTGTCATTCTCATTATTATTTTAATACCCTTCGAATTAATTAGTAATGAGTCATATAAGAGGGTTGAGAGTCTTTGTTTATGAACACAACTCTATTAATATACACACAATTTTAAACTTAGCTTAATGATCCACTAATTAGCTTGTTTTTAGATTACGAAATCGCACATGTTAATACTTATACCATCCCATTTGACCATCTGCTCCCTACCTCATTTCAGTCCTCTATTTTTTAATATTTTTAACCCTACACTAAGATTCTATATTTATATCATAATACAAAGCTTCTCACAATCTATAATATATATATAATTTAGTTCGGCTGATATCATGGACTTGTCTGCATATACTATTACAAGTGCTATCTATCTTCGTTATGTTTGAATTAAGACGCTCCGATATCAATGGGACATTGCTATAATGTTGAGGTAATCTGTAATAGTCCAAGTTTATCGTTAGTAGATGTTGTTCCTTTTGAGCTTTTTCTTTCGAGTTTTTCCTCAAAGTTTTTAAAATACGTATGTTAGAGAGGTTTTCACACTCTTACAAAAAATGTTTCATTCTCCTGTCTAACTAACGTGGGATCTCACAATCCACCTCCCTTTGAGGCCTAGTGTCATCGTTGATATCGTCCTCCTCTCCAACCGATGTGGGATCTCACAATCCACCCCCCTTCAAAGCCCAGCGTCCTCTGACTCGTTCCCCTCTACAATCGATGTGGGATCTCACAACACCCCCCTTTGGGGCCAGCGTCCTCACTTGCACTCGTTCCACTCTCCAACCGATGTGGGATCTCACAATCCACCCCCTTCAGGGCCCAGCGTCCTCTTACTTGTTCCCCTCTCTAATCGATATGGGATCTCACAATTCACCCCCCCTTCGGGGCCTAGCGTCCTCGCTAGCACTCCTTTCTCTCTCCAACTGACGTGGGATCTCACAATCTACCTCCCTTCAGGGCCCAACATCCTCTGACTCGTTCCCCTCTCCAATCGATGTAATATCTCACAATTCACCCTCCCTTCGGAGCCCAACGTCCTCGCTGACACTCATTCCTGTCTCCAATTGGGATCTCACATAATCAATTAGCTACACCCATTAAACAACAACCAAAGTCAATATGTTATAAGTAACAATGCCAATTTAACTCGCAAGGTCCTGCTTCAAACAGTGTAGAAAATTCTCATTCAAACCAAGAACGAGAGAATGAGCAAAGAGAGTTTTTCCCTGATGGCTAAATGGGGATGAAGACGATATTCTCCATCATCGTTCTTGTCTATCTCGACTTATTCATCTATTTTTTTCAATTTTGAAAATTTAGTACTCTTTTTTTCTTTATGTACGTGTACGTCTTAATATATTTTATCACTCATAAACTTATAATTTTATTATTACACCAAAAAGAGAGAGAGAGAGAGAGAGAGAGAGTTGTGTATAAAACTTGATTTTGGTTTAGACAAAAATGATTTCCCATTCCCTTTGAAGAACCATTCATATTCTTCAAACCCCTTTCCTCTCAACC